TACCTGGAATCTCTCATTGTTATGAAAGATAATATTATCTGCTAAACCAATAAAGGGGAAATGGTACCTAACAGTGTTGCCCCCAAAGGGAAAAAATCAACTAGATCTGTAAACTTCTCGCAAGGCGAGCCACAAAATCACACGTCTAAGGATATTTAATTGTTTAAAGATTATATTATACAAATCTTGCCTCTTTCTGTAAGTTTGTGGATTTAGGTTTCTTGCTTGTAACAGATATATCATCAAGAGCCTGGTTTCCATTTTGTTTTCTGTGTCTTACTTTCTCCATCACCTTTCTGAGTGTTGACAAACCTGCCAATATTAGCAATCTCTGCAAACAACACAAAAGTTAACAATAATTATATTAATACTAAACGTTAAATGTAGATGCTACATTATAATTTGTTTGCTCCCTTCAATCCTTTGATTTTAATCGAATGAAGACAAATAGCCTGGTTATATAATGAAAACTAAGTAATTATCTGTGGACGGATGGAATACAGCAATTAAAAACTCCAAATTCACCAGGATCTGAAAGCGCTTTTGATAAGTCATCCTTTTCAAATAATCATTCAGAAAGTTTGTGAATGAAATCCTCTCGCTTTCAGACCGAGGGCAGAAAACACTTTCATCACTCTGAAATGTTTCTGTACAGAAATTTCACTTAGCGACAGAAATTTGGAGCTCAGTTGAGGTCGTAAGCAGAGAATTACTATGTATTAAAACCCATTAAAACAGAGCCCTGTTCTTTTTTCTTTTTCTTCCTGCATTACTGTACCTGCTGACAAACAGGAGCAAAAATGGAAGATCATGATAAAACAAAGCCCAAACAAAATATTGGTTAATCTCAGTCTCTCAATGTTTACATCCAAATATTGTCTGGCAAAAACTGAAATGCTTTTACCACAATTTATTACTGAAATGTGCTTCAGTAATGTGAACTGTGTGACCACAATTCAACACATCAGAAAGTTCAGCGCCTGAACTTTGGAATTGCAGCTTGCTGTTTTCTTCTTGAGGACAAGACATGACTCACAGAAAGGATCTCATTGGATGAGAAGAAAAATGGCCATAAAAAAGTTTATTGTGGGTTTTAAATGCTGTTTATTGGATAATTTACTAGAAAGTATTCACCTGATTATTTTAGTTTTTTTTTTTATGTTGTAAATTTTATGGATGGTTTTATGTTTTAATCTGTGTGGTTTACTTTCTAACAAAAAAAAAAAACGAGTCGGTGTTGTTGTTTTTTAAATCTGTTCTACTCAGCAGCGACCAGAAGTTATAAGCGTTGAAATGTCAAATGTCAAAATCCACATTTTAGGAAAGAATGTGACATTTTATGAAGCACTTCGGCTTTTTATCAAGCCTGGGGCTCAGCAAAGAGAATTATTTTACACAAATGGAAGTAAATGTGTACTCCTCCTGTTGAGAAATAAATTCAAGGTATGTGTCCTTTTTAAAAATGTTTTTATGTTCCAAAGATGAGAAGATGAAAGAGTTTGTTCCTAAATGGCCAGTATTCTATTTCAAGCTATAGAATATAAATGGATCATGCTTGAATATTCACAATGGAAACAACCATACTTGAAAAATAATGGGCACCTTTGGCAATTCATTAAAGCAGCCAAATCTGCTCTTAGAATCCTTTGTTGCTCTGAAGTCTGTGTCTGTCCTGTCTGGTTTGGTTCTGCAACCCAACAGGACAGACACAGACTTCAGAGGATAATTAGGACTGCAGAAAAAACAATTACTACCCACCTGCTTTCAATTGAGGACCTGTATTCTGCACGAGTCAAAAAGAGGGCGGTGAAAATATTTACAGACTCCTCACATCCCGGACATAAACTGTTCCAACTCCTACCCTCAAAATGACGCTATAGAGCACTGCACACCAGAACAACTAGACACAAGGACAGTTTTTCCCCGAACACCATCACTCTGCTAAACAAATAATTCCCTCAACACTGTCCAACTATTCACTAAGCCTGCACTACTATTACTGTTAATCTTCTCATCACTCCTTATCACCCATCCCCTCTCACTTGTGATTGTGGGACTGTAACTTTGTCGCTTGTATCCTTAAGATTTATAGTGACAGTTTCCTAGTATGATTTGATTGCTGATTGTACCTTATGACTATCATTAAGTGTTGTATGTTATGATTCCTGATTCTTAATGAATGTATCTTTTCTTTATGTATACTGAGAGTATTTACACCAAGACAAATTCCTTGTGTGTCCAATCATACTTGGCTAATATTCTATTCTATTCTATTCTATTCTATTCTATTCTATTCTATTCTA